TTCCTATTTGTGTTATTTACATATTCTCCTTGTCTTTTGTTAGATTTACCAGTGTTTTGTCAATTTTATTAATCCTTTTAAAAAAAACCAACTTCTTGTCTTATTCTTTCTATTGTTTTTCTGTTTCACTTATTTCTGCTGTAATCTTTATTTCTTTCTCTTTGGTGGCCATAAGGTTTATTTTGCTGCTCTTTTTCTAATTGTTGGAGATATTGGTTCAGGTGTTGATATTGGTTCTTTCTTCTTTGGATGTGTGTGTTTATTGCTATAAATTTCCCTCTGAGCACTGTTTTTGCTGTATCCCAAAGGTTTTGGTATGCTGTATTTTCATTCTCATTTGAGTTGAGGAATGTTTTACATTTATTCTAATGCTCAGTAACTTTTAAGCATGATGTTATTCAATCTCCATGTGTTTGGTATTTTTCCCTTAAGCTTCCTATTGTTGATTTCTAACTTTATAGCATTGTGATCTGAGAAGATACTTTTAAATATTTTGTTGTTTTCAATTTAATTGAAGTGTGCTTAGAAGGTACACTGTGCTGTTTGGGGGTTGATTGCTCTGTCTATGTCTATGAGATCAAGTTGGCTGACTGTGCTGTTTCGTTCTTCAGTGTCTTTGTTGAGTTTCTTTCTAGTTGTTTTGCCCTTCATTGAAAGTGGTGTATTACTCCTATTATTGTAGAGTTGTCGATTTCATTTATTTTGTATGTTTCTCTTGTAGGGTTTTCCTGAATTCTTGTAGCTTTTTTCCTGTATTCTTGCTTTCCTTTATCTTTCTCAAAATCCACTGAAGGTACCTAAATTCCATTCTTTTGAATTGTTTCTCAGATGGTTCTAATTCCTTTTCTTTCTCAGATACCTTTTTAAACTGTGAATCTTGGACAGTTGTTTGAGCCTCTTTGTCTTGTTTCTTTGTGTGAGCTGAAATTGTCAGTTGTCTCTGAGACATTTTTGTGTCATTGGTGTCTTCTCAGGCTCTCAGCCACTGCCTCCTGGTGGATGTGATTAGAGAATTGAATTCCTGTTTTCCATTCATGCAGCACAATTTAGGGTGGTTTTGACTTGTGTTGGCTGCTGTCTGTAGTGGATCAGGTGGTATAGGAGCTGCTATTGGTTCCTGAGAGGGTGGAGCTGCAGAGGGTAGGGTTGTGGTTGACCTGTATGGGTATGGTTGCTGTCTCCCATCAGATGAGGCAAAAAAAAAAAGAGAAATAAACACATAAGAAAACAAACCAAAACAAGCAAACAGGCAACACCAGAGGAAAAAAGAAAATAATAAAGGGGAAAAACAGGCAGAAAAAAAATAATATAAACACTAAAAAGAGAAAAGATGGACAGGAAAATAAAGCTGTAAAAGATAAAAACATAAGAAAGAAATAAAAACAAAACCACTAAACAAAACTAGGGAGTGAGACAAAGATGAAAGTCTAGAGGGTAGTAGAGAAAACAAAGAGAGGTGGGTGAAAGTGAGAGACAGAAGAAAAGAAAATGCAAAAACAGAAAAGAAAAAAAATCAAGGGAATGGAAAAAGAAGAAGAAAGAAAACAAACAAAAACAATCAGACAACAAAAGGAAAAATAAAAACACAGAGACAATAAATAAAAACAAATAAAAACCAGTGCAGTTGTTGGACCCGGAGAGAAGAAAACTCTGGTGGGCTCCTGCCAGCTAAGAACTCATGAGGTGGGCAGAGGAGTGTGTGATGGCTGAACTCCTAGACCCAGATGGAGTTCCTATAGAGCTAGGTGCTGTCTATGTTCACGGCATACCATCTGGAAGTAGTTTGTGCAGGCCCTTATGGTAGCCGAGTTCAGCGTCTGTCAGGGCCACAGGGTGGCTGGTGATGGGAGTTACTGCTAGCTGAGGGCTGGCCTGGCAACTCTGAGGGTGGTGCAGCTGCCACATGCCTTATACCAGCATAGCTCACAACCATGTAGCTCTGCACTGGGGGTGGACAAGGGTGGGAGCTGGCCACAACTCTGGTCACCAGGGGAGTGAGGGGAATAAGAAACATCGCACCTTTCCCATCACTAGTCACTGGTGTGCACTTGTGCAGCCAGGCCCCCGTCTGCTTCTACGCGGTTGTTTACAAATGTTCAAGATGGCCGTGCTGCATCTGCTCAGTGGACCATTCACCAATCTATCTCCTTCCTTCACCTTCCTCTGCTCAGTTTCTCCTCCCAGGAAATATTCAACAAACTTCCAATCCTTTCCTCTGAAGCTCAGGGTTCCAGGATTTTCATCTGTGCCTGTTTCATTTGGTCTCCCATATCTTAGTTGTAAAAGGTTTGCTGTCTTGCTGGGGTCATCTGCTATAAATATTTTTCCTCTATGAAGCTTTTGAAGTCCTTCATATATGTTGTCATTGTTGTTAAGTGCCAGCGAGTCGATTCCGGCCCATAGTGACCCTGTATAGGGTTTCCAAGGAGAAGCTTCTGAGCTTGAACCATCAACCTTGCCATTCAAACAACTTTGCAGTCTGACGCATTAGCCGACAGCACCACACCAGGATGTGGAGCCCTGGTATGGTGCTGTGGGTTAATGCACTGGACTGCAAGGTTGGTTTGAACTGCAGGATTGACGGTTCAAGCTCACTAGTCATCAGAAACCTTGTACAGGATCCCTATGAGTTGGAACCAAGTCAACAGCACTTAACAACAACAACAACAACAACGTATATGTATATGTACATATTTGCATTGTTTTTGTTTGCTGTCCAGTCAATTCTTCACAGGAGCAGAAAACCTCGTCTTTCTCCTGTGGAGTCCTGGTGTAGTGCTGTGGCATAAAAGCACTGGACCACAAAGTTGGTTTGAACCACAAAGTCGGCAGTTCAAACTCACCAGCTGCTCCTCAGAAACACTATATAGGGTCACTAAGAGTTGGAACTGACTCAACGGCACTTCACAACAACAACATATATACATGGAGTCCTGGTGTGACTCTGCATGATAAGCACTGGATAAGTTAACTGCAAGATCAGTAGTTCAAACGTTTAGAAACTATACAGGGTCACTATAACCGACTCAATAGCACTTAACAACAAGAAGTATATATTGTAGGTAAGCTGCCATTGTTAGTTGACTTGATGGTAATGAACAACAACAACATAGTGGGTTAGGCATTGGGCTTCAGGCTGTAAGCTGGCAGGCAGGTTTTCAGGAAGCATGGCTGGAGCTACTCCACAAGTGGAACCCCCCTTTCATCCGGGGAGCCTCAGCTCGGTTCTTCAGGTCCTTCAACCGATTGACTGACAGAGTTCACACAGATGTATTTGGGTAATCTCCCTTCCTTGAGTCACCACTACCAAATACCTTCAAAGCAGCACTTAACAGTGTTAGGCTGAGTTTTCTAGAGAAATAAAACCAGTGAAGCTTATATATATAATATGTATATATATGGTGGTGGTGATGTGTCGTGGAGTCGGTTCTGACTCATAGTAACCCTGTACAGGGTTTCCGAGGCTGTAAATCTTTA